TAAACTTTGTTTGATTTTAAAAGTTAAAGTTTTTTTTAAAATTTTCTTAAAAATCGAAAATTTTTTTTATTAATGTTTAAGCTACAAAACTAAGTAGTTAAAAGGGGTTTAAAATTTATAGAAATTTTCATATATATATATAAAATAGTACTTTGAACATTATATAGCATAGATAAAAGCTATTTGCATAATTAAAAAAAAAACTTTTACATATAGAGAGTTCACTATACGTATAGCTATTTCCTTTAATAAAATTTCATAATTGATCAATCATCACTTTCCTCACTTTCATCATTATCACTTTTATCACCTATACCAATTTTAATTGTAGCCCAGTAATCTCTTGCCTTATTCAAATACTTTTTCCAGCAAGAAACAACAATCTCTGATGTTATTTCCTCCTGAAATTTACAAAGCAATGCATTACGAAGAGAAAAAACATCAGGCAATAATCGCTCTCTAGCAACTTTATTTTTTACAACTCCCCATACCATTTCAATCGGCTGCAGCTCACAATGATATGGGGAGTGTATAATAATTTGTGACCAAACCTATTGGCTATAGTAACAGTAGCAAAGAGAATTTTTTTTTTTTTTTTTTTGTTAATTCATAGAGTTCTGCCTTGGTTATTTTTGCATTAAACTCAATATTACGGGTTCTTAACCATTCTACTATTGTAGCCTTATTCCAGTTTGAATTTGGCATAGGTTCAGCACGACGTTTATGATACCTTGCACTATCCATATAGATGATGCAAGGTCCATAGTCAGAGTTGAGAGTTTCACAAAGATTTTCAAAAATTTTTTCAAAAACCTCTGCATTGAAGTTACCGTGATAATTTACTTTACTGAGAACAATATTGGCTGTTTTAACAGTATCTGGAACTGTTTTCCATGCTTGGAAATTTTTTTTTTCTTCTTTTTCCTGTTGGTGGCTTCGCGGTAGGATCCCAAATCAGAAGAGACTGACGAACTAATTCACCCTTTACTTGATTACTATTATTATTTCGAAAAATAATAATTGCCCCAAAAATAACAAGCATGAGACCTCTTCTTTTTTCATAAATAATGCCATTTTTTGAAAACCAAGTTAAATTTCGATTGTGGTGCATATAGTAGTAGGATTCATCTAAAAAAACCTCAGGAAAAGTTGGTACATTATTGTTGCCTTGAATGTTTTTAAAATGCCAATGAAGGTACTGTGCATGATATGCAACATTTTGGGAGATTCATGAAGAATGTTTTGCTGTTCTCCCTTACTATAATAGTATCCAAGAGTTTTTAAACGTTGTGCAAGTTGTGTTTTTAATACTGAAAAACCCAACTCAGATAATTCTAAAACAAGTATTCGGAGAGAGAGCGTAATACTATTTTGATTTGCAGACAAAATAAGATCTTGAATAGCTTTTATATACTCTGTTTCAAAAACTTCAGAAGGCCGATGACCATGTTTTGATGATATAACTATCCCAGTTTTATTGAACTCAGCAAGTACATGGGCAACAGCCGCTTCACTAACTCCTGTTGCCAGAGAAACTTCTTCACGCAGATTGGTAATCTAATTAGACTTGATATAATAATAGACAGATAGAATCATCATCTTCTCATTAGCTGTTAGAGCAATGGGGTTCCGTTTAATTTGGTTCATAATAAATTTGGATAAAATAATAATTGCCGTCAAGAAAAAACTTAAAATCTTATTAAATAAGATTTATGAGTTTTTTCTTGATGACACTTATATATATGCATATAGTAGCGATAAAAAAAATCGCTGTAAATATTAATGATATAATTAAGGCTAAATTATTACTTTCTAAATTCAGTGAATTAAGATAAAAGAAACTTGTTCACTGAATAAAAATGTCAAGACATTATTAGTCATAGGTATATATCGCGTTCAGAATGTAAAGTCTAAAATGGAAAATCATGTGAAGTTAAGTAACTATATAAAAGTAATTCAAAAAAGGCTTTGGTACTATGTAAATCTTTGCTGCACCCTAAATGAAGTTCTTCTTTAAACTTTTGTGGTTCTAAAGAAGGTAAGATCATTAATAATGGCTAGGTGGATCGGTTGTAACATTTTCTCAAAGTTTAACTAGCAATTGATTGCACAATCTAATTTTTTTGTAGATCACGCAGTAAACATCTATCAAATTTGAAAAGACATTGTGATTAATTTACTAGGTAATTATAAGTAACCTTAATATCATTAAGAGTATAAATACCATACAAACAAATTTAATTAGAGGCTAAGCGAGGTTTACATAATACGAAAACCACTTTTAAATCACTTATTGCCACATGATTTTAAATTTTTAGCCCTATAGCATTCCATCTTAATGACTTTATGGAAATATTTCAAGTAAAAATTATTATATATAATTTTTTTATATATTTAATTTAAATTCAAAGCTGCTAAAAGTGCAAACTTTTGGCAAAAAAAATTTTAACTTATATTGATGATGTTATATATATCTTTGAAATAGTCGCAATTATAATATCAGTTAACTAAAAAAGGAATTTAATTGCTACATTTTTTGGATATAAAATGTGGTCATATGTAATAACAATTAAGCGACTTTATTAGTCAAGTTTCTTTTTCTAATACTGGGCTAAGCACTTGCGTAGTAGCACCGCATGATGTAATTTTTTGAGCACTTTTACTATGTAGAAATTAAAAATGATATGCGTATTATAAATTTTGTAATTACTAAACAGGTTACTTTAATTGGTTAGTATATATCATTAAACGGTTATATCAGCCAAATATTTTTTGAATATAAGAGCTAAAGGTATAAAAATTACTGTCTGTAAATAAAAAATTAGATTATATTTAAAAAATAAAAGATATAATGTTTTAAATAAATTATATATTATTTTTGTATCACTGTTAATGAGACGGCCAATATATTGTTATTATTATTATATTATTATATTATTATCTTGTATTCTATTATTGTATATCGTATAATCTTAGATATTATTAGTTAGTTGTGCGTAGCATTAGAAACTGATAGAATGGTAACCGTTTCTACCATTCTTACTATTTTTACCATTTTTACTGTTCTTACCATTTTTACTGTTTTTACCATTTCTATCATTTCTACTGTTTCTACCATTTTTACTATTTCTTATTATTTCTATTAGTTTTAGATAGTTTAGAAAAGATATATAAACCCTGGCTTTTCTACCTTCCTGC